AAACTAATGCGTGGTCAGACTCAACGCAGGTGGTCCAATGGGACCTGCAATTTTGCACTGAGCCACGCCAACGGTAACTTAAATCTATGTGGTCGATTTAAGTTAGTGTACCAGTTGAACTGGAGCACCACGTTGCCGTCCATCGAGAGCTGTGTCGGAAGTTGTTGCTTGATAGGAACAGATGATGGTCTGCGCAGAACTGAAGAAGTCGAGCACCGTTATCTGTTCATTGGCTGGACAGAGCACAACTACTGCCTAGGCAAGCTTCTGATACACTCAGTTTTCCAACATGCGCGCTGAAGTCACCTGCAAATGCAACTATGTCGGAGCGTTTACCTGAAAATATACTCTAGAAGAGACGACTGAAATATCCAACTAATCACCGACTCATTCGGAATTACGTTGCTATTTGTAGTTCGCGCTTGTTTGTGCGAGCGGAACATTTGTTCGTTAGTGAATGAAGTAGTGGCCCTGACGGGACTTGCCTAAATTTTCTCGTGCATGTTCAACGTGTCATGAGAACTCAGGTGTTGCGGAAGTACAAAAGTTGTTTTAGGCGCCTATTTCACTGAACTGGAAATTGGGTTAGCGGCGGTCAAATTGATAAAACTCATTTATGTGAACAGCCGACTGATGATAATCTCGTTCAATGAACGAATCAGCGACCTAGCAAACAACAAATCCTGATGCAGTGCTATTCACTAGCAAGGTCTGAAACAGAGACAAGAACCAAGCGCTTCATTGTTTATTTATTAGTGTGCAATAATACGGGATAATTTTTTCGCATCATATATTCACACCGGCATTTTTCTGCTCCATTTCTGAGAATCTCTCTATGAACCTAGCCACATTCTCTTCAGGAACTTCCATTTGTTTCCCTACTAACATCAAAGAAATATCAAAACCAGCTCAAGTGCTCATTTATGTGAGCTCATGTCATACATGCTTTTCCACCATTCTTGAGGCTTTGGAACAAGGTTTGCCGAATTTCGCCTTTAAGTATACTAGGATCTTCGAATTGAAGACCACATCATGTTTCACTAACACCCGTGGAAACCATTGACCGACAGGAAAAACTTCCACTGTATTCAGCCAAACGTCAAATTAATTTTTCCAAAATCTACAACTTTCACAACTGACACGTTTCTGATCACAGTGCAACTGAAGTGGCGACACATCACAGGTGGTATACCCTCAAATTTGATCGACGGTCCCAACAACGTCAAATTTATCTATCATTCGTCCTGGCTGAATTCACACGAACGAATGAATGCCTCACGTGCAACCGCGCTCTGGCTCAATCGCGATTCGGAGTGAAAAATAATACATGGTTTTGACGTCTACCGACAAGAATGTGCAACCGATGAGAGGAATGATGGTAGTACATCGCAGGGTTGTGGATAAGGGGATACCTTCACCGACGAAGGTTAGTTGTGAATAAGTTGTGGCATACCGCAACAAATAAACAGTCGCAAACAAACAGCCGGGGCACTATCAGGGTGTGGTGGATTTAAGGCTGGTCATCTGGATCCTGTGTAGAAGCCGCATAAGTCGTGATAAAAGTCCATGCGACTACCCTTTTAAAACTGAAGTCATTGACCCCCTCATTCCGAGGCGAGGGATTACTTATTGCTGCCTTGCAGTTCTTACTTCGTTGTGCAAAGGCTAGAGGTGCCCCTCAAAATAAAAATCGACGAGGATAGGGACGTCTCTCGTACCAAACTTCTAAGGAACTTGATGATCATGTCTGGAGCCGGCCTATCCTTTCCAAGGAGCCAGCCGCAATAAAGTAGTGGTGCGATTACTTGAAGCTATTGGTACTGAAATTGGCATGCTCAACCGTGCAACAGTAGCTGATTTATACTAACCAAATTCGCACTAACCGGGAAGGACATGGACTCCCTCTCGTTTGATGTGGTTATACGTTACACTTGGATTCATTCACACAATTCTTCAAACCATCGTGAGATGCGAACGCGTACATGAACGGTAGGGGAGTTATTCACACGACTATCTGCCCTCACTTATCGCCCCGGTATAGCTGATCTGTTTCATAAGATGGAACTCTGTGCTGAGCAAAGACGATGACCATCAACACCAATCACCCTGAGTTTTTTGTTCGAACCCTGAAATTCCGTTTCCACCACTGTCCGTTCGAAGCTTAACTGAAAGTATGTTTTCTAAATACTCATAACACTGGCCAGATCAGATTTCGTTGTTGTATACTGTGACCCAAAAAGATACCCATCTATTCCACGAACCCCCGGGAAAGTGCAGTTTAACATTTTCACCTGTTTGGCAATTTGTTGGCAAACGCTTCCTTACCAGCCAAGGTAACATCTTCACAAACACTGAAGATGTCACCTCGGCTGGCGATGTAAAGTTTGCAAAAAAATAGCCAGGGCTCGGCGAACAGCCGAAAAATTCGGTGCGCCCGAGCTCAGAGAAACGATTTTTAACACTTTGTCAAGGCACTGTCTAAGGGTTTTCATCACCTCGGGCCTTCTGGCCTGTTCAGAACTGCATCTCTTGTCTCGGAAACAGCTATGGCCACTTTGAATTGTTTCCTTGCAGTAAAAACGCAGTTTAGGTTCAACGTATTGGCTTTTGGAGAAACTTGACAAATCAATTTGTCTGTCATCAATTCCACTCTGATACAGATTCGCGCCCAGAGAAAAGATAGCCAGTAATCTTTACCGTTCAGCTGAAAGTGCTTGCCCATGCAACACATTATAAATGTAGGTGTGTCACATTTTACGGCATAATAAATTGACGCAACTGATGAATGTAGTCTTCACAAACACGAACGGATGATGTATATAAACACTCCTACAAACACGACTTCGCAGGACATACCTGCATTGGATCTGTCGTCTCCAACCCCGTGCTCACATGCAGCGGTCGATCTAGTGTATGCGACATTGCGTTCAAACTTTCGTACAAAGCCGGTGGTGTGTATCCGGTATGTGTGTCCCAGGCCGATTCCATCATATTCGGTTCCAAATGCATTTTGGAAATACCTAACAAACAGGGGCCATTGGGAGCGGCACGTAATGCAGCTGCAGCTTCTTTCAGACTGGCCCGAGTCAGATTTCGATCATTGACAAATAAGAGACGATCGCCAACCGAGATACGACCATCCTCATAGGCAACACCACCGGGAACAACACTATCAACCAACAGAAGACCGGGGCGCTTCTTTGCCCGAGGACGTGGGAGACGCGGACCGATGGGCATGGTTGAGGAACGTTTTACACGGGTTCTCTGCATTGTACTGCCGCGGAAACCCAAGGTGAGACTACGCCGTTTGTTGTTCGCCTCAGAGTCCGAGACGGTCAATTCCTTCAAAATAGTAAACAATATGTGCAGCATGATTAGCTTCATATAGTGTGATAACTTCGACAAAGCATGACAAATAGACCAATAATTTACACCTTTCCAACCCACAGACTGCTCCAATGAGGACAGGGATTGTGAAAACAAAGTATGCATTGTCGATCAACCGAAGTACTTTTCGCCTATTCAGAGACAGATTCGGTTAAGAACGAGGCGCGCAGCAACATCAACTTGTCCAGGCTATGTGACGTCTCACGAAGGCTTGCTGTCCGCCCGGCAAAGTACAACAGCTTCGGTAAAGCGCACTTTGTTCTTGGCAATTCACTGTATGAATGTGGTAACAACTAATTTTGTTTTGGAATTATGGGAAGCTTTGAAAGGTTTATTAGAAGAGAAATAGAAAATAGGGGAAAATTTGAAACAAATAAAAAGCAGTCCTCCTTTTTATGTTGCTGCAGTTGCTCGGTTTGGTGAATATGCAACGCACATATAAGATGTAACGCCGTTGCCCTGTACATGGTTTCATCAAACAAGAATGAATGCATGGGTGAGTGTGCAATGTTTAGACTGAAGAAGAAAATACTAGGCGAGAATTTTACCAGAACTTCCAAGATTTATTAATCATAATGCCAACAAGCGCCAGTCGCAAAGATACATAATTTCAGGTAAAAACAGTCTTTCGCAAGGAAAGAACGAACACCCGATTGTGAATTCATTGTGCGGGATCATTAGCAGGCATGCGGAAGTAGGGGGTCACGGTGAA